AAAAAAAAGCTCAAAATTTAAAAACATGATGATTATGTGACAATGATCTGTTTGTAACTTTGTAAATAATCAGACATTTGAATCTTTAGTGAACTAATCAAGACTTATTCATTGGAACCTACATCCTTTTTAGTAACCAGCGTGATCTGACTAGGAAGGATATTGTCAGGTGTTTTGTTTCCGTTTTTATATGGATGATCTTCCTAAAACATTAAACAAAGTGAATACTGGAAGTATGATGGGGGTCTTGTTAATCATCCAATATAGGCTGATCGTTGGGGGTGGGGTCTTGTTAATCATCCAATATAGGCTGATAGTTGTTCCAGCAGCTGCTCGGGGTTGACTTAATTTATAATTTGTTGAGTTAAACTCTAAAAAAGTGCAATAATTAAGCTAATTTTTGCTAATTCTGTTTGGGTGATCATTGTTTAAATGTATAGACTATAGTCAGATATTTGGATAACAGGAATGATCTCTGTGATGATGATGATCATAATCCTTATCCCTCTGAAGCTACTACACCTCTGCACCTCATCCTTTCAGTGGACTGTGTAAAAAGGTCCACTGAGCTCTCTCCTAGATATCTTCATACTTCCACAGGTATGTCATATGGACCGTTCTGCTTTTCATCCTCTTAATAGCTAATCTCACTTCCTCTTTAGTAATCGTTTGCACTTCCTTATTTACTAACTTTCCTCCTTCTGTTATTACCTCTCTCTCTCAGGAGCTCCTCAAACTACTTTATCTTCTCAATGAGGAATCCAACCTTATAACAACATTTAACAATGTTAATCTACAAAAGTGACTAAATACTAAAGGCTCCTGGCGTGGACATGTAAGGATTTTTAGTTAGGCCTTTTATTTTCATTTAATAGCATAATATCTAGACCAAAAAAAAGCTGACTTTGTACGATTACTACTAAGAAGATTTTATTTTGAAGGCAGGATCATATCATTTCCGATCCTGTTGATCTTTTGTGTACATTGACGCGGTGTGATCGGCATCCGGAGAAAGACAACGGCTCTTGGAAGCTAGAGACGAGAAATCGCTGATCTTTGTATTTGATGTGTACCTGCGGTGCATATTTTAAGGCGCGTTTGTCTAACGATCAGGGCTGATCCCAACAGGCCTCCCCTCGTCGGCTGAGCCGCCTCTCGTCAATATTCGCTAATGGGAGGTCGGCTAACTTGACGATGACGATGATGGTGATGATGATGATGCATCAGAGGATTTATCCCGGTGTCTGACTGAGATGGAGCCAGCGGCGCTCGAGTGGAGTCGCTTGCTAGCCAGCTAGCGAGCTAACGGTGCCCTCCGGGATTGAGCGTGTTCCCAAGCAGTCCGCGTTTTAAAGCTAAATGGGTGCAGCCGCAGTTTTATCGCGCAGTATTTCCACCTTTGACCCCCACGTTTGATAGCCCGACCATGCCGACCTGCAAATACTGCTAACTTAACCTCCTGGGTTGGGTACACGTGACAGCGTTTATCTCGCTCCAACAATTAGCTGCACCTTCGGCCGTCCTTGGATGCTTCAGTGACGGTAACCGGGTGAGTAACATGAGCCACAGGACTTTTACTACTCAATTACAGGGGTCGGGCTATATTCTGGATGAGGCACACGGCTATTGCGCTTTGCAGGAGCCTCCAGACACCCAGCGTACGAGTTAACGTGTGTTATTGTCTCGTAAAACACTGGAGTGTTAAGTCTTAGCTTCCTATGCTGTGCGTGTCGGTCTATTTCGCAATAGTGCCAATATTTATTAGCTAATCTCGTTATGCTAACTCACTCCACCGCTAGCTAGCATGTCATGAAGTACTCGACCGTGTCCTGAGCGGCTGGTCCTTTTATGGTGCTGTCTTTGCAAGGAAAACTGTAAAAGATTGGCCGCTAGCAGACTGTCGCTAAAGAAGAAGGAGCGGGCATATTTAAGAGTAAATCTTCATTATCAATACTATGACTGCAGCGTCCAGGACGCGTGTGTTACATATAAATTCCGTGAAATAGCCTCAGCCGGTTAGCGGCAGACTCTGCTTGGTTTAGAGTGTGTGTACGGATGTGTGTGTAATAGCTATGAGTAAATTTGGGGATTGGTTCAGACAGTTTGTGTACAGTGAGGATAACGTGATGCAAGTTGCACACATGACTTGTTTCCTGTCTTGTGAAACAAGTCAGTAGGAGAGGCTAACTGCTGCCGTGCGTGTGTCCTTTTGCAGACGGTGTGTATCAGGATGGCACAGCTCTTGGATGGGGCCGGGAAACTGGTCTGGGTTCTCCTCAGATCCGTGCTCCGTTTCACTTTTATGTTCATCAACAACTGTGTAGCCATCCCATCCTACTGCTTGTACCTGATGCTGCTTCAACCCCTGAGAATATGGGACCGCTCCGTTTTCTGGCACATTGAAGGCATCATGTTCAAGTGGTTGCTGGCCATGGTGTCTTCATGGGGTTGGGTTGCAGGTTATACAGGTAAGATGTTGTTTTTGTTGTTGTTGTTTTTTCCTTCTCTTTTGTCATCCATTGTGTGTGTGTGTGTGTGTGGATGATGGGTTCAGTGGTGACCATCTAATAATGCAGGAGCCTGCTCTAACACCAGTATGAGCTTCAAGTCTTTTCTTCACATAGGCCTGTTTTCTTCCAGGTCCTATGAGGTTACTTAAGAAGTTATTGCTATTGGGAAGATAATTTCAAAGTCTTTAAAAGCTAATAGAAGTATTCTGTTTGCTGTAGGGTAAAGTACACATTTTTAATGCTTAATGCATATACCATCAACCCAAAACATGTTTGAGAGAAACAAATGCTTATTGCTGTGACTTAGATGTACTTACATGAAAGAGAGAGAGACAAGCATTGGCTAATACCGCCCAGCATCATGACAACTAAATATTGTGTAAACATGTTATTTAACAAACTTGGGGTTTGCTGAATGTCCTACTGTAAAACGTTGTAAAAGTTGATGTTTTGCATTACTGCTGAACCAAACCAAATCAAAAAGGGGCACATTTTACGTTGAAGCTGAACGGCCGTCATTTTCGCTTTGCATTTCATGTTTGATAGTTTTCACTGCTCGGACAGTGGTTGGCGAGCATTTGCAGAAAAATCAGCAAATTCCATGCAAACTACAGGTGAACTTCACAATCTGCTACTGGCCAAAGGAGTCACAGGTTTTCTGTGTGGTATACCACTTTGTGACCAACTTCACCTAGCAATAGCAAACTGGTTGTGGCATACACATTTTTCCATAGTGACCGATGGTTATCGTTGCGTCACTCGCCACGCTCTGGGCCGACATGAACGAGGCTTTAGCATTTGATTTCAAAGCACCTTCAGCAGGCACTTACGACTAGCAGAAGAATGCAATTTTTTCTGTAGCAACAAGTGGTTGCCAACTGGTCTCTTGGCCTGTGTAACTATGTTTTTATTATGTTTTTTTTTTATTTTTATATTGGGCATGGACTGCAAAATAAAGGGCTGATATCAGCGTTTACAAAAACAGTATGGCCATTCATGATACTGATATATTTGTTTGTTTGTAATATCTTTATTATGATAAATAGCAGAAGCATTTTAAAATCCTTCCACACTAGTTTTATATATATTTATATAGTTTAAAACTGATGTAGCGTCACAGGTTGATGTAAGACAGTAAATGGGGGTAAATTTAGTAATTTTTCCTCTTTTTTTTTTTTTTTTAATACCAGTTGTTGAAAAAACGAGTCAATAAGGAAGCTATTTGTCTATTCTTGGACATTCCAAGTTGTGGAAACATGTTACCTCTTGCAGCTTCAGGTGAATGGTTAATTGATTAATAAGCTACTAATGTTTTGGCCAAATGATTCAATAAAAATAAACAGCTCGTTCAATTGATGTTTTATTGATCCCACAAGGGAAATAATTGTAAGATGGTGCAAAAACATTTCTATATACAACAGTTCTTAAAAAAAAATAAAAGTTAAGTTAAGTTTAAGAAGAGTGAAAAGTGTGACTGACTGTGCAACAGAGCAAAGAAAGAGAGATTGATTTTAAAAAGCTAAACTTTGCCCTACTTTCAGTAGAGCTTTTTCAAATAATTGTGGTTACTTGCTTTAATAACTGATTCTGTGTAAGTGGTGTTGTATTGAAATGCATTGCTTGCTGTTTATAAGGTTGAATATATTTCTTCTTAATTATATAAGAATTGTGCATTTGCAGACGGTTCATTTAAAGTAGCCGATCACTGAATATTTCAGAAATTGTTTCAAAATTATAGATTAAGAAAACCTTTTTGTAATGATTTTGTGCTTTTCTTTGTCATTTCTATCAGTAAATGAATTCCATATGGCTTTTGGATTTGTAGTCAGACACAATAGGACATTAAAAAGCGTCTGGTGCATTCAAAAAATTACAATGCACATTTTTCACCGTTTTTGACATTTTATAGGTTAATTAACTGAGAGCGTAGTTGCCAGATAAATCAGTAATGAAGCTAATTGTTGGTGTGCTCCACAAATGACAGATGGAGACAGAATATCAGACACACTCACCTGACAGACACGAATATCACAGGTCGTCGTTGTTTCCACTCGAATGGCTGGTTGGATATCTTGACGTGACTCAGGCTACAGTCGGGTTCATTTATATGGAGCAAAATGCTTACAAACTGCTAAGTGGTGAACATAAGAAGCAACAAGGCATGCTAATTAATAATTCAAAGCTTTCACTCTATAGAGCACCTGGACTTGCGTTGAGCAAAATGTATTGCAGGCTTTGATCGACAGGATTTGGAGTGAGATATTTGGCCATTAAAGTTTAATTCAGATTTTAAAGGTATGACATACACTGTAATTTGCAATCTGGTACTACTCATACTATGTATAGCTATGTGTACGTACTAGTATTTGTTCTGGATCTTTTAAAGTGATGAAAACCAGATAAAATGGGACATTCGTTACATTAATGCTTTGCAATTTCGAAATTTGAAAAATCACTTTAAAGCAGGGGTGTCAAACATAAGGCCCAGGGGCCAGAATCAGCCTGGCAAAGAGCCCACTGAACAGCTCTGGAAGTGTGAAGGAGTGTATAGATTTATGAGCTTTTAATTGTATTTTCGTAAGTTTTACATCTTTTTCTATTAATCATTCATAATATGCCAAATTAAATAAGTATTAGATAAAATAAATGATATGGTTTTTACAGTGGGTCCACAGGAAAAAAATACATTTTCTTTAAATGAATGAAAACTTTGTATTTAAGAATTGCTGCATTACAAATCACGATGGAGAGAGAGAGAAAAATGGCTTACTGAGTCCCCATTTTGATTTCCAGTCAGTTGAAACCTTACCATTATCCAGCAGGGGTTAATTTTTTTCTTCAAACG